ACTAAATGAAAACTGTTTTGTTATTCTTTCTCACTGCAAGCCTGAAAAAAGATCTAATTTATGTATTGAAATGAAGATAAAAGTGCTTTGAAAAGAGGCTGAAAGGTCCTCTGTTCATCGCAAAGCCTTTTAAAACATTTTTTTCCTTTTGAGGAACCACTGAGACATCTGAACAGCTTCAAAACTGCAGCAGAGTTGTCTGGGTCACATCCATTCAACTGCCATTTAAAGTAACCAAGTCTGAAAAGTGTTGAGGTTATTGCAGAGTCAGAATTTTCTAAAAAAGAAAAAGAATATCTAGAAGTGAGATGCAATCTCTTTATGAACTGAATAGAAGTGTGTGGCAGAGAAACAGAGAAATACCTAAGTCAGTTACTGCTAACTTTTAAGCAGGGTCATGCTTACAGCATGGATCTACCTGCCCAATAATCAACTTCCAAACAAGTTTTGGCAAATTGAAAAGAATTCCAAAATGAGTTACATGAGTGACATGAGCTCTGGGAAAATAATACAGCATGCAGTTCCCAAGGCTCAGTCTATTTTTTTTTCATCCAGGATTTATTAAGGAGTTGAATATGACATAACAGCATTGCCATGTCACTCCTCTCAAAATCTATGTAAGCAAGACAACCACAACCTCTGAATCTGTGCAACCTCTCATTTTGGCAAAAAAAAAAAAAAAAGGAAGTATCTAGCAAAATGCATCACATCCTCAGCTTCATTTAACTATTAAAAAAGCTTCATTTAACTACTCACAAACAGAAAGTTTTGGAAAGTGCTTATAAAACGTATGAGTCAGAAGAAAATACCACTTCAATTAAACTGATGTTCTCAAATTAATTCCCATGCCTGCAGCACAACATTTACCTCAGATCACTTGCACTTTGCCATCACCCTTTTCTCTCTCATTTACACCTCATTGTTCAAGACACAATTTTTCTCTTCACTGCTTGTTAGACAAAGGATTTCCTTTAGGGTCACTCCTTTTCACCTGCTTCTCAATAAAATCTGAATTGCTGCTACGGTGCTAGTGCTGACACTTCTTGTTCAGGGTCTGACTCTACACATTTAAGACAGAGAGGGGTCACTCATTGTCCTGAGAGGCAAGCTGGGCCCACCGCTGATTTGATTCATTACTCACGTATGATGATACATGGTACAAACCACAGCAATGATGCAAGGATGCACTCAGAGCTTCACAGCTTGATGGTACAGAACAAGCTTTTGAAATCAGAGTTGCTTCCCAAACTGACTGCTAAAACCTGCTTCCAGCAAGCTCCACTCCCTGCCACCTCTCCTACCAGTAAGCCACAAGGGTATGAAACCTGCACAGGTAGAAGAATGTTTTGTTTGTTTAGCTTGTAACTAGATAGGAAAAAAAAAATTTTTAAAGGGCCCCTATCCCCCTAAATCTTCTTTCTCTTCAGAGTGATTTACAGCAGATTCATGAAGAGCAGAAATTGGTTGAAGGGCTGTGGCTCTGTCCCAGGGCAGGGGAAGGTGACTGAGAGGGAAGGGCAGGCTCCAGGAAAGGAAGGAGCATGGCACAAGTCTCTTTCAGAGGAGAAACAATTGTGCTAAAAGGTAGCTCAGAGCCAACACTTCCAAACTTTTCACACAACTTTTCCTTCTCATAATTAGAGAAAAAAAGAGAAAAAAGGAGAATTTATGACCTTTGGAAAAAGGGGCAGGCCACGCAGGAAGATTACAAAGGTGTAGCAAAGTTATGTAGGGAAAAGATTAGGAAGGCCAAAGCCCACCTAGAGCTCAACCTGGCTTTGGATGTTAAAAACAATAAAAAGAATTTCTATAAATATATCAATAGCAAGAGGAGGTCTTGGGAGAACCTCCATCCTCTACTGGATAAGGGAGGTAACATAGTGACCAAAGATGAGGAGAAGGCTGAAGTCCTAAATGCCTTCTTTGCCTCAGTCTTCAGTAGTAGGACAGGGGGTTCCCTAAATATCCAGACCCCTGAACTAGCAGGCAGGGGCGGGGAGCAGAGTGAAGCCCCTGCAATTCAAAGGGAGATGGTGAGGGACCTGCTCCAACACCTAGATGCAAACAAGTCTATGGGACCAGATGAGATCCACCCGAGGGTGCTGAGGGAACTGGCAGAAGTGCTTGCGGAGCCACTCTCCATCATTTACCAGCAGTCCTGGCAAACTGGGGAGGTCCCGGCCGACTGGCGTCTGGCAAATGTGACGCCCATCCACAAGAAGGGCCGTAAGGATGATCCAGAGAACTACAGGCCTGTCAGCCTGACCTCGGTGCCTGGTAAGATCATGGAGCAGATCATCCTGAGTGCCATCATGCAACACATGAGGGACACCCATGCGATCTGGCCCAGCCAGCACGGGTTCACAAGGGGCAGGTCCTGCTTGACAAACCTGATCTCCTTCTATGACAAAGTGACCCGCTTGCTGGATGAAGGAAAGGCTGTGGATGTTGTTTATCTGGACTTCAGCAAAGCCTTTGATACAGTCTCCCACAGTATCCTCCTGGAGAAACTGTCTGCCCATGGCTTGGATGGGAATACCCTCTGCTGGGTTAAAAACTGGCTGGAGGGACGGACCCAGAGAGTGGTGGTGAATGGAGCTAAATCCAGCTGGCGTCCAGTCACGAGTGGTGTCCCACAGGGCTCAGTACTGGGGCCACTTCTCTTTAACATCTTTATCAATGATCTGGACGAGGGGATCGAGTGCACCCTCAGTAAGTTCGCAGACGACACCAAGCTGGGTGGCAGTGTTGATCTGCTGGAGGGTAGAGAGGCTCTGCAGAGAGATCTCGACAGGCTGGATCGATGGGCCGAGACCAACGGGATGAGGTTTAACAAGGCCAAGTGCCGGGTCCTGCACTTCGGTCACAACAACCCCAAGCAGCGCTACAGGCTGGGGGCAGAGTGGCTGGAGAGCTGCCTGGCAGAAAAGGACCTGGGGGTGTTGGTCGACTGTCGGCTGAACATGAGCCAGCAGTGTGCCCAGGTGGCCAAGAAGGCCAACAGCATCCTGGCCTGTATCAAGAACAGTGTGGCGAGTAGAGCCCGAGAGGTGATCGTCCCCCTGTACTCGGCACTGGTGAGGCCCCACCTCGAGTACTGTGTCCAATTTTGGGCCCCCTACCACAAGAGGGACATTGAGGTGCTGGAGCGGGTCCAGAGAAGGGCAACGAAGCTGGTGAGGGGTCTGGAGCACAAGTCTTACGAGGAGAGGCTGAGGGAACTGGGGTTGTTCAGTCTGGGGAAGAGGAGACTGAGGGGAGACCTTATCGCTCTGTACAAGTACCTGAAAGGAGGCTGTAGAGAGACGGGGGTCGGTCTCTTCTCCCAAGTTACAGATGATAGGACAAGGGGTAACGGCTTCAAGTTGCGCCAGGGGAAGTTCAGGTTGGATATTAGGAAACATTTCTTTACTGAAAGGGTTATCCAGTATTGGAATGGGCTGCCCAGGGAGGTGGTGGAGTCACCATCCCTGGAGGTATTTAAGAAACGTGTAGACATGGTTCTTCAGGGCATGCTCTAGTGCCCAAGATTACTGGTTTGTGGTGGGGTATTGTGTGGGTGGGTGATGGTTTTTTTGGTTTGGAGGTTGTTGTTGTGTGTTCAGGTGGTGGGAGCTGGTGTTGTTGTGTGTGTTTTGTTGGGTTTTTTTGTTGGGTTTTTTTTTTTGTTTTTTTTTTTGTGGTTGGACTCGATGATCTCTGAGGTCCCTTCCAACCACTACAATTCTGTGATTCTGTGATTCTGTGATTAAAGACTAGGCTGACTTTGAGGACAGATTCTGAAAAAAAACTCCCATTTGGTTTTAAATAGGTTGAATTACATCAATTCATAGAAAATGAGAAGCACTAATTTGCTTCTTTTGGGGGAATGTGTTGTTTCCAGGGTAAAATGCAGCAGAAAGATGTTTATTAGTGCCAAAGAGGAGCTGGAAACATTACTGCTGTCAGAAGTGGCTATATTTTGAAAAGAACCCAGAACTTGATATGCAGTTACCATGGAAGTCTTTCTGAAACTCTGGCCCAATGTAGGTAGCAAAACAGAGGTGGACTTCCTCAAGCTATATCCAGACCATCTAAACTGCAAATACGGCACTCATAGGCAGAACTTAGGTGACTAAGTATCCAGTGTGACTGAAATGACTATTATTGGGTGCTACCTCTTAAAAACCCTGAAAATCAATACTTTATTCACTTAGGGCAGTGGTATTTCCAAGACACCCACATAAAGGCTTACAATGTAAACATTAAGTACAAATGCTTTGGTGAATAAAGTTAGAACTCAACTTCACACCGAAAAGGTTTTCCATAATTCAAGGATATGCAATGAGACAAACTCCATCCAACATTTGGAGACATCCACTCTAGAAGACATGTTCTCACCCTACTCACTTGGGATGCGCTGAACTCAACATAGGGCCCACTAGTTAAGGTAGCTCTCTTCTGAAACATGGAGGGAAGAGGTAGTGCAGGAGGACAAGTTCCTATTTAAATGATTGGGAAGCATTAAAACTGGCATAGATGTTACTTTGTACTGCTTACAGACTTTGGTTCCCTCACGTGCAGGATGAGAGCTAAGAAGAAACACAGAGGAAAGCACCATTTCAAAACAAGGAAGTAGGATATAACAAAATGGAAGCATGAACCCTGCAGTGAGAGTCTTTCAGAAAACATACTGAAAGCTATTCCCTAGTAAATGGCTTAATAACTATTATTGTTATCATAATATAGCTGGAGTGAAATTAAAGATTAGATTTTAAAATTCTTCACCCTTTTGATTTACACTGTACTATTCAATTCCACAGCGCAGCATTTTCATGATTTGCTACAACATCACTGTCAAGGAAGATACTCACTTGGCTGGAGAATATCACTTAGACCCTCTTCGCAAAGCATACGTGAGCTTTCAAGGTACACAGGATTTAAGATGCTTCTCTTCGAATAAATAATCCTCTCCTATCACACATACATACAAACACACCCTTCCAAATTAATGTTCTTACCTTATCTTTATTTTCAGAGCCAGAATCCTCGCGTTTGGTCCGAATGACAAAGGGAGTAGATAATCTCAGGAGAACTCGTTCAAACGTGGCACTGATTTTAGGAGAAACTATGTCGAAGCAGTCTTGGAATTTCAAAGTTTTATGAGTGTCACATCTGAGCTGCTTCCTAAGACCTTCTCCAAGCTGCAGAATCAGCATGTTTGGATCAAACATCAGGTGAAATGGGAAAGCTCTGCAGAAGGTGCTGATGCTAATCCTCAGGTCTAAAGGGGACTGGGAAGTTCCTGGTGGAAGTGCTTTTGTGATATTTGCATTTTCATGTTCTTTGATAAGGTAAGTCAGACAGCTGCAGTTACTTGGGTTCGTCCCCTCTGAACACAACTTATCATTAGTGACCTGTTCTACTTCCACTTCCAAGCGGTAAATCTTCTTTGCTGCTGCTTTTATCATTCCCATCATTGCAAATCCCACAATCTGATGTGGATGAAAGTAATGAAGCATGAGATTGCCTTCAGGGAGCTCTTTGCATAGGAAAGAAGGGGATTCCAGGGTGGCCTGTCTTCCAAATGAAGTTCTAATGTGCTCCAGCAAAGCATCAAAGCCATTGAAGAAGTCTTGAAGGGTCCCACCTACAGCTCGAAGAACTCTTTCATTCTCATCAAAGCAGATATTGAAGAATTCCTCCCCAAACTTTTCTTGCATTTCCTCAAACTTCAAACCTATATGACAATGAAACACTGATCAACAACATAGTATTGCTACTGTGTTCTGTGTTCTCTATTTGTTCTCCCATTCTCTCTATTTGCCCAGTATTTTTCCAAGTCAGTGAGAGCGGCTTTTTCACTGGATACCTACCCAAAGGACTTCTGTTTTCTCTGCTGGTTGAGAATAACCCTAGAAGTCATTTTTGCCTGTCATTTTATGTCCTCCTGCTTTCAGCTTGCATGTCCAGCCATGGGTACATCCCTGCCCTTGCTGACCTAGTCACAAACGAGGCTTCTGCTTTTATAGCCCCTCTGTTCTCTGTCTTGGTGAGGGATACAACTCTTACCAGCTTGAAGAATAAGTTACTGGGATTCAAAGTCAGGCCTTTGGCTTTCAATAACCAATGTAAAGCCCTGCAGCCAGGTGACACTTTAGTAGCTGGGAGGGGAGGGTTGTGGATTTGGGGGCCTATTTTCAGACAAAATACTTTTGTCATTACAGCTGTTGGGCATTGCCAGAAGATAAAAAGGAATAATTACTTCTTTTTGTTGCTTGCAAAGGAAAGCAAAGCCTTTCTATTTTAGGTTTTTACACTTACCCATTTTTTAAAAAAACCCTGCCTCTTAGAGTGATCTAAACTGGTAGAAAGATAGGCCACCTCTATGATTTCTCACAACGTCACTTCAAGTCTCCATCACAGAAATTCAAAAGATTTTGATTTACAGTGGTGATAAGGCTGCTATTGCTGAAGGTATGAAAAAATACCAGTGATGGAAGCCCCTGGATACAAATGTGCATTAAATCCTATGCCAGTTTGTTATTTACTATTTTAAGAATAATCTAGAAAAAATAATTTTTAGATGGTTATTAAACATTTTCCTCTGTCTTATTTTAGGGGAGGCATGCTCTGTTAAATTTCATCTGTATATAATCCCTATATGACATAAGAGAGTAAAAGAATTAAGCAGATATGTTTGTATTGTTCTAAGCTGTAACAGAAGAAAAAGAAATATGAATCAGCTGCATGTGAATTACAAATATCTAGCAAGAGTTTTCATGGGAAATTAATATAGGAATTAACGACAGAGTTCCTCCAGTGTATTGAAATCAAATCTCATTTCGGTCAACTAGTCAAACACCTTAAAATTTATCTTGAATTTTAACAGAAATGAAGAGCAGTTATTTATTTCCTAAGGGCATAACAGGACCTTTATTTTAGTATGTATTCAGCATGCTTTATAACATTGATAAGATCCCAGTGGATCACTAAACTTCTCATTGTTTAGATTGCTTGTAGGCTTTTACATTTGGAAAGACAGCGTGATTAGTGACTTTCATGCCCAAGAGGTGTAACAGGGGGCAGAAGAAGTTATGTATCTGATGTTAGCAGACAATAACCTTTGATCATCTCAAGACAGCATCTGAATTGCCTATGCACACAGGCATAGTAATGATCAACATTCACAAACGATCTGACTGTTCCACAGCTTTGCAAACTATCTGCAATGACAGTTTTCTTTGGACCTTCAATATGATTAATAGCAGATTAAAATGCATTAAATTACATATATAAACAGGACAACATGAAAACATGACAACGCATTTTTTATAAAAGAAGTAATAGTAATAATTTGGGAAAGTTCATTCAAATGCCATTACTCATAATCAAATTTGGTCACTAAACTAGGTTATTACAAAAATATTCCCAGGATCTTTTATGACCACAGATGGTCAGATCTGCAGCTAAGCCAAAAGAAAGTACCTCTGGTACACAATGCCCCCTAATATCCTGACTCAGAGGACAGTGTGCCAATTCCTGACTCATTACCACTACGTCTGCATAACAAAGTATTGTAGCATCTTCCACAGAAATAGTCAAAATAACCCAAAAAGAAATAAATTCTAACCCACACCAATAACATTCTCATAATTGGATAGTAATAGTAAGGAGCTAAGAAATCATTATATTCATATGTATACAGAAGCCCATACCCATACTTTTAAATATCATTGTTCTGTAGAGTATTTTTGGAGTAACATCCCACAAAGCTGCTCAAAGCCATAGCAAAGGTGAGTTGTCTTTAATGTGTATTATAAAATTACAGTAAAACAGTCAGTTGCCCTGGAGCCACTAACTGAAAATAGCATATGCAGAACTTGTGTACTTTACTGCTGCACATGTAAGCCTTTCTCATTATCATCAGTGGGAGCTGTATCTTAGTATTCGGCCTGAAGTTTTGCTGATTGTCTTAGATTCATCTTGTCATCTACCCTGGAGGACTGGCCGTTCAATCTGGACGCAAGGTACTGACTCCAAGCAACATGAATTATACGATGAAATTCAGGTCAATGACCTGGCTTGAGGACGTGCCACTACTTTTAAAAACATTTTAGCTTTGAATTGAGTTACACATAGTACCAGTATAAAATTAGATTAGCTCAGAACAGAAAAATGGATATGCCCGAGCTCAACCAAACTGCTGGTCTGTCTTAGTTGGGAGTTTTCTCTCTAATAATAGACACTATGAGATACTGAGAAAAATAAACAAAGTCAAACGAGCTTCTAAAACAAACAAGTGTAATGTATCTACTGGGGAAGTTTATTCCTAAGCCTCACTAATAAGAGGCCAATTTTTGCTTGAAGCACAAATCAAAAATTTTTATTTAAATTCTTATTATATAAACACACATAAACTATTTTCTTCTGGATTTCCACAAAGCTCTTGGCTTCAGTGATGTGCTTGTATGAAGTTGCAAAAATACTAAATATGTATTTTTACTGACTTATTCCTGCCTCTCCTATTGAAACAAATGATGAACAGAAGCACACACTTACCTAACATTAACTCTGTATATATTTCATCATAACATTTTTATTTAGTACCACATAAATGATCCCAGTCTTTGAATATCTTCTGTGGAGTTTCTCCCTACTCCTTTCTCTATAATTCTATCGTTTAGCTTTCAAGAGACAATAGAAATTACCATCATCATCAAAAGGAGAGAAAATGTCAGAATGCATCAGATTGCTATTCATCTGCTCTGAAGTCTTGCCTCAGCAGTGATTGGTATCAGATGCTATAGAAAAACTGAAAAATCTGATGGAAAATCATAAAAAACCATGGTTTTGAGGAAGCTCCTCCCTAATTGCTACAGTAAACATTTAGCTTATTCACTGAAATGGATGGAAGTACCAGATTAGGAGGTAGTTTTATTACATATAGAAAACCTGTTTGTTACAAAAATTCCCAGAACTCATTGTCTCTATAGCGCATACTTTACTGCATTGGTAGACTTCCACTAATTATTATCTGTAAAAATTACATTCAGTATTATTTACAGTTCCAGTGTATGTAGTTTTCCTTTGTTTGCCTTTTTTTTTCTTTTATTTCGAGAACAGACAAATTAAATCTTCAAAATAATCTTCTTAATAACCGTCAGGTTATACATCTGCATAAACAGTACCATCTTTTCAAACCAATATCGCATTAAATTATTTCTCTGCATCTTCATTTTGTTTTCATTTTGATTTTGGTCTGGAAGAATTCAAATTGAAGATGGCACTGAAAATGTGAGTCAACTTCTGTTCATCGAAATTTTTTACTAGCTATTCCTTTCTGAAAAGCTGGCATTTCCACTCTTTCTTTTTCACTATGGCCCTCTAATCAAAATTTTCATTCAGCTGCCCAGAAAAAAAAAAAAAATTGAGATCTGTATCCATGCCCAGCACTTCCAAATGCAGAAGCCACTGCACTCCCATACTGCCTCATGCATGACCCCAACCACCACAGATAAGGCTTTGCAATGGGCACTAGCTTGCCATCAGTAACTAGGAAAAAAGTCATCCCTTAGTTTCACCAAGACACTTCACTACACAGTAGTGATACAAAATAAGCCAAAATTCATGCCAACATTCTCTGCTGTTGCCCAAGAGAAGCCATTTGTTATTTCGAGCTTCTGTTATTTACCAACCTTCTACCAATATACTGAATGAAATTCAAAAAAACCAGCAGACTCAATTTACTTTCCTCTTGGAAAGTGATCTACTGTGTTCCTACCACTTAATCCGCTTCTTTAAGGGGAAAAATCACGTCTTAACTCTAATCACTTTTTTCCGTAGTAGTTTCTTTTTGTTACTTTTTCTTACAATGCATTTTTTATTCTAGCCCATACTGGACAGAGATAAAATATGAACATTGTAGAAGGAAACTGAGGCAAAGCAACCATAAAATGAAGATATTGCTCTGGGCCTCCATAACAAATCACTATATACAAAAGTACTATATAATATCTATTATTATCCTTTGAAAATGTGTCTCGAGGACATTTGGAGAAGAGATCCTATACTTGTGAGCCAGGTTCAAAATTATCAGTCTTTAAGCATAGGCTCAAAGTACAAATTAAGTTTTACACTGAACCGGAGCAGAAATAGATGACTTCATCCTGTAATAACATGCTAGTAAAAGGTCCTTCTTCATTTTCTTTTCAGCAGTTCCTGTAAACTGTGAACCCACTACAAAACATCAAGGAACTAATACAGTATTTTGTATATTACTAAGTGGAGAAATTAGATAGGAATCTGCTCCCATAAAGAAAATCACAAATCACAGGCTCTTCAGAAACAAACAGAAGATGAATGATGTGATAAAAATGTCAAAGTAATCCATTATCTTGCAGAGCATGCAGAAGCAGTTACATGCTGTCCCGTTATTCCTTAATGTAAGTCATGGAGACAATGGTTGCAGAGTGGCCAGCATCTGATTCCTTTGGCATAGAAAAATACCCTTTTTTCTGGGATACCCATTAAGAATCTGTAAATGTCAAATATTAAGGGGATGGAAAAATTCAATATGCAATTCCAGAACTCATACTGTGGAAGGAAGCAGAATTTGTCACGTTCAATTATAGCAAATACCTCTTAAATGTTTTTGGATTAGCAGATTTTTGGCACGAGTAAGATCTTTTCCTTAAACAGTCTTTTGGACAGAAAGCCAGGTGGCAGTTCAGAATTCCA